TACAGTAGAACAGAGCGGACTGCTGTGCAGTACACGCGACCCTTAATAGACAAACGAATATCACGGCGGCGCCATAGGTGGCGCAAATTGGCAAAAGCCAATCGAGCCTTTTGTATCCGTGCAGAAATCTCATCGGCAACTAACCCACCGGAGTTGATCCTACTTCCCAGGTAAGTGAAGTGGTCAACACACTCAACCACTTCACTCTCTATTGTTAACCGCGGTACCGCTGAAGACCAGTCCTGGAGCAAAAATTTGCATTTGGGTGGTGAAAATCGCATCCCAAACATTCTCAAATTCCCACTCAAAGTGTTCAGAAGACTCTGCATCTTGTCAGCGTCTTCACCTAACAGGACTATGTCATCTGCATATTCTAGATCTAAGGAAAATTCACCTGTGTCCGGTCAACGTCTTTGTAATTAGGTGACGAGAGGGAAACCTCCATAAGAATATCTATGATAAAATTAAATAAGAATGGGGATAGTGGGCATCCTTGACGGACACCACTTGATGAGTATAGCTCCCTGGACAACTCACCATAGGCTCTAACATGCCCACAAGTGTTCGAGTAGAGAGCTTTCAATAAGGTGATGTACTTACTAGGCACGCCTTTCAGTGACAGACACTGCCATAAGACTTCTCGATCAACGGAGTCAAATGCCGCCTTCAGGTCGAGAAATACAGCTATTGTCGGGCGTCTGTAAGCATGCCTATGTTCCAGGACCTGGCGCAGTGTGAATATTTGGTCGATACATCCACGGCCAGGTCTAAAGCCTGCCTGGTTTTCTCGGGCTTGCTGTTCCCGAGCTCCACTCAGGCGTCGGAGAATTATAGAACTTAGGATCTTAGACACTATGTTTGTCAGGCTGATTCCTCTGTGGTTATCACAAGAGGACTTCTCGCCTTTCTTGAAGACTGGGATGATCAGTGACTTAGACCAGTCGGAGGGGATCGTATTTGATTCCCATATACTGGCTAACACTTCCGTTAGCCTGACTAAGAGAACTCTACCACCATTCTTGTATACCTCAGCAGGTAGTCCGTCTGGTCCTGCTGCCCTTCCCGTTTCAGGCTACCTACCGCTTTCTCAACTTCTTCTAGTGTTGGGGGACCTGTCTCTATGTCCCATTCAGGGTCCGACTGGATAGCGGGCAGCGCAATGGTGGCTGGAGGCCAGTTAAACTGTTCCTCAAAGTGTTCTGCCCATCGTCCCAGTCGCCTTCCCTGCGAGTGAATCGCCGATCCGTCCTTCTCCGCTATAACCTCACTAACTGTTGTTGACCATTTCCCCCCAGTCTCCTTAATAAGTCTAAATAACTGTCTACTGTTACCGATCGCCGCTGCCTTTTCCATCTCTTTAGCCTTTGCTGCCCACCACTGTTCACGATCGTTGCGCAGACTTTTCGTCAGTTTATTTTTAAGTTGCGCTCGCTCTTCATTGTACTCAGAGCCTGCAGGGATGCATTCACGTGCATCCATTAGTTTGGAAGAAGCTGCTGATATCCACTGGCTCTTTTTAGCCATTATCTTGGAGTCGGCTACAGTCTCCAGTGCTGCTTTTACAGTAGACTGAAGATGGCACCAAGCTTCTTCTGGATGAGTGACAGTCTTTTGTTCCGATAACTGCCTAGCCAACTTCTCACTGAACACGGCTTTGGTGTTTTCGTTGTCCAGCAGAACTCGTAGTGGTTTTGTTGCCAAATTTTTTCTACGTCCATTGAGACGCAGGCATATACGTGCTCGGACCAACGCATGATCGCTGTCCAAACACGTACTCCAGAAGGAGCGGCAGTCTTCCACCGATCCTCTCCAGCGATGACTAATAGCAATGTGGTCTATCTGTGTCCATCGCTGAGTCGAGCTCGGTGGACGCCAGGTCAGACAGTGCCTTTCTTTATGTCTGAAATTTGTGCTGGCTAAAAATAGGCGGTTATCTGAGCATAGTTGTAATAGGCGATCACCGTTATCTGTACGTTCAGCTGGGATTCCGAAAGTGCCACCTAAGTGCCTTTCTGCCTCACTCAGTCTACCCACCTGTGCGTTGAGGTCACCTGCAACAACCACTACGTCCGAACGTTTGGCTTTCGAGAGGAGGTTAGACAGTTTATGGTAGAACTCGTCCTTCACTTCATCCGAACTACAGTCAGTGGGTGCGTAAGCAGAGATTACAAAGAGACAACGGCGAGTCTCACTATTCCTTTTAGTTCTCACTGTGCCGTTCAGCCTCATAGCGCAGAGGCGACTATCAACTGGGATCCAGTCTAGTAGTGAGTTTTCTGCCCTGGTGCTTAATGCTATACCTACACCTGCAAGACCACGAGAGCTAGCTATCGAATCTCCAGAAACTCGAAGGGTGAATTTTGCAGATTCACCAGATTGGTCAGGAGAGGTCAGGTGAATAACCACACTTGGGTCCTGTATGCGTGTCTCACAAACACAGCACACATCCATGCCTCGAGTTGCTAGAGTCTTTGCCAACGAAGCCTGTTGGCCAATTTGACGGAGGGTGCGGACATTGAAGGCTCCAATATGTAATTTGGAGCGTGGTTTAAGGAGACCAGGGACACTGTTCTGTGGACTCAGATCGTTGTCGAAGGCTGCAGAGGTAGGAGAAATTGAAGATGATGCAGCATCATTAATTAAGAGACGTGAAGGAAGATTAGAAGGTAATGATGGAGGAGGAGGATAGCAGTCAGAAGAAACTTGGGTGCTGACAGAGTTGTGAGGGCGGTTGACACTTCCCGGCTGCCCACACCGTGGAAGGCTATTTCTTCTTAAGGTACCTGAAAGAGATTTGTGTGACCGCAGAGCCCATCGGACATCTGCTTGAGGCCTGTCACACCCAGCCTTTTGAGTATGATTATTTTGAATTTTTGTATTTTTGGGGCCGGATGAGCGAAAGGAAACGACAAGTGAACCAACACCGCCGGCCCGGCAGACCGTGGGGCGTGGTGGAGTGTGTTATTTTTGGGGCCGACCTTTTCTAACCCCCCCTTCCACTGAGAAGGCAGCATCAGCTTGGCACTGCTGGTCATCCAAGGGAAACACCTTACTGCTGTCACACCCCATCCAGCTAGCAGCAGTACGACTTCGCCCTCAGACCCCCATCATAGTATAGCAATTTACACTATGACGGTAACTGCTTTTCGTCTAACCACTACCCAACAGACCTTTCTGGTATGGTAGGACCTCGAGGGAACAAGCGTTCCACCAGCATAGCTCGTTGGGTCATTGTGATATGCAAGCCCGACCACCACGTCAAGGTAGCAGCTATCGGTCGGGCATTTCTACATAACGTAAGATTTTTTCTCTGCTTTGTTATTGACTCGAGAAATGGAGAATTGGAAACAGTTTTAAAATGTATCAGAGTACATGATACATTCAAAGGATATATTTAAATGATTCAAACGAATTGAGAAGAAAGAATTTGATAAAAATGTTCAATGGATAAATTTGGTGTCCCAAGGTTCAAGCAGGCCGGCATGACGAAAACACACGCAGTTTATATATTTCGTGGAATAGTTTCCAACATATTTGTAACTATTAATTAAATATTTCAAGTTGTTATTCATCGAAGACTGACATCAGTTGGAGGAACAAAGGAAACCTGGGAGCACTGGACAGCTGTTTCGTCCGACTAGTATGGGACTCCTCAGCAGTGCGCACCCACGACCCCACCAGCAGGGATCGAACCCGCTACCTTCAGGTTCCGCGACCAGAGCGTTACCATTGAGCCACTGGGTCAGAATCCAATGCTCCATATTTCCAACTTCTGTCATCGTTGAGTATTTGTCCTCACGGCCATCAGGCTTTGACTCCACCGGTCACGACTTGTCATTGGAACTTCGATGAATAACAACTTGAAATATTTCCAAATCTCCACAACCCCCTCAAAATTTAATTAATTAAATAGTTTATGGTAGTTTTTGCCTTATGTTGACCTATCTAATAACTTAATGTATCTGTTTCAGCAAATGGTTCGTAGTTTATGTCGAATAATTTGTCGTATGAAGTATTATGTTTCTTTTTTGTATCATATGAAATATTATAGAGATCATCCTCTCCTACAAGTTATCATGGTTTATCACGAATTCCTAATCATTTTAGCAAAACGAAGAGACAGAGACGAGATCTACGTAGAATCTTGCATACAGATACATCGGCTCAAGTTATCACATTCCACAACCGTACACAGGAAACAGGGTGGTAGAAAAAAAGTGTTATCACAGTGAACAAATTTGTGTGAGAGAATGAACAATCTGAAGATAACAGTTTGTGTGAACATTCATGCTTTAGATGTCAAGGGATGATTACATCTACGCCTTTGTGACCGACTTTCAGCCCTTTCACCAAGAGTTCTCAACCAGTGAATCCTGACGTCTCGTGGACCCCAGCCTGACAGTCTACATCTCTCCATACGACTCAGAAGAACAGAAAGAGGTTTCATCGATTGGTGCGACATCTTGATCTGGCCACGTTGAATGAACCCTCTCCCAAACTAATCCGACTTCTCGAGGTTAGGAGGTAACTCGGCATGTGCAATACATATTGAAACGATATCAGTCGATGAAGGTTCACAATGTTATAAATTGACATGTCTGTCTTGTGTAGTACCCTTTTTGTGACTTCGATATTGCTCACAAGATGGTTCCATCGTATGCGAGCAATACTACGAAGGTATCTGTTATCAAAAACCCTATACTTGTTTCGTGTCTTCTACTTTTAACGGTCATATATAATCGCAGTACAGTAGAACAGAACGGTATAACAGTTATTTCTTCAAGTCTAATCAATACTTTACTCTGTTTAGTACATTTTAATGTACTAATTGCAGGCTGAAATGGATGAAATGGAGACGTGCTACTGAAGCCCTATGTTCCACTAGGAACCCAAGGGACTAATAATAATATAATAATAATTGCAGGCTGTGCTTCATTTCAGTTCATTAATATGTGAATGAATTCAACTGTTTATTAAGTTATGTTTGTTGTCTATCCTAGTTATGTTGCTCCGTCTGGTTCAGTATATTTCGATACAAACCGATTTGCCAATTGTTCTACGCATTTTTATGCTAAACTTGTACCAAATGCTTTTGGTGATTCTGATCAGCTTGCATCTGGAGAAGGTGAACTGTCTATAACCAGTGAAAAAAAGTCATCGAATGATTTCGCACTCTGGAAAGCGTCGAAAGCAGGTGAACCAGCTTGGCTCAGCCCTTGGGGGAAAGGTAGACCTGGTTGGCATATAGAATGCTCTGTTATGGCTAGTGATATACTTGGCGATACTTTAGATATACATAGCGGTGGAGTTGATTTGAAGTTCCCGCATCATGATAACGAATTGGCTCAAGCTGAAGTACGTTTTGTATCACCTTTGTTGGTGTTATTTAATTAATATTGAGATTTATGATTTTCCTTTGACTATCAGAGATAGCCGTGGTTTGGCAGGCTAGTGCTTGTACTGGGTGTTGATTGATGATGAAATGAAAATCTGAACCGCAGCCAGATTCGAACCAGCGACCACCGGCCCGATGCTCTACCAACTGAACTGTGAAGTCTGACTGTTAACCAGATTTTTATTTCACTTCAATCACAAGCGTGGTTTTGCCCGACTACTATATGAATTCGTGACGCGTTACTACCGCTGGATGGTATTCACACTGGCTGCCTAGTCAGGACTTCTCATCCCAATCAAAATCTAACTGAATTAGAGAGAGAGGGTGTATCATATAGGTTATCATTTGATTATCTGGTGATTGGAGTGGTCAGCAGTCGCACTTTGTAGGTCAGTTGGTACAGCATCGGGTCGGTAACCCGGTGGTCGCTGGTTCGAATCCGGACGCGGTCCTAATTTTCATTTCATCTTCAATCATCACCCAGTAATATTCATATTTTTACTCAGTATGAAAATATAAACCATGAATTTTATGTGAAACTCTCTTACCACTCCATTTTACTGAACAACATTCAATACTTATGTAGAGCATATGAATACCTACTATAATAATGGGCAGTTTTAGATTAAATTGGAGGACATAATGACCGCCATTTAAGTAACCTATCAATATTTTTGAGATGAATAGAGATTTCTAATTTAGAAGTAGTATTCATCATAGACTGACATCAGTTGGGGAACCATTGAAAAACTGGGAGCACTGGACAGCTGTTTCGTCCCAGTATGGGAAATTGTGAACCATTGGAAACCGACCCGGTGGCTGAATGGTTAACGCGTTCGCCGTGAAACCCGAAGGTCCTGAGTTCGACCCCTAGCCGGGTCGTGGGTGCGTACTGTTGAGTAGTCCCATACTAGGACGAAACAGCTGTCCAGTGCTCCCAGATTTCCAATGGTTCCCCAAATGATGTCAGTCTACGATGAATACTACTTCTAAATTACCGATATTTGTCATTACTTGTTATGAAAGTATGTGTTAATACAAGTTTATTTCTCAAATGTTCACACTTTTGTCTGTAATCTGCTAAATACTGAGAACCCAGTGTATTACATAGGGTTACTTTGCTTCCTGGGTTCTATGGATGTTCTTTGTGGTAAATGTGTTTTCGAATTCTAGTAATTAAAACATTTATAGAAGATTCAGTCGCTATGTCAAAGGGAGTCAGAATTACTGTGGAATATTGAAAATATTGAAATGCTAGACAAACAGTTAAGTATCTGGGGGATAAGAATCCCTATATATAATTTCAATCTGAAAGTTTGTGGAGATTTATTAGTCGGTTTCAGGTTGGAATTCAGCATGGACTGACATCAGTTAGAGGAACAATCTAAACCAGGGAGTTACTGGACAGCTGTTTCATCCTATTATGGGACACCTAAGCAGTACGCACCTATGACCCCACCAGGGGTTGAACCCAGGACCTTCAAGTTCTGCGGCCAGCACGTTACCATAAAGCCAGTAGGTTGGAATTCCGTTATCTATATTTCCTACTTCTGTCACTTCACGATGTAGCGTAGCTTCCATCCAATGTAGTCATTGAGTAACTGTTCTCATGTTCGACTCGGTTGGTTCCACTAGTCACGACTTCGGGAATCACCACCTCTCGAAGCTAGTCATCAATAAGCGCTTGATTAGTTCTATCTGGAGATTTGTGGAGATTTATTAACTGATTTCAGGTTGGAATTCGTCATGGGATATCAATTTAAAGTTATATTTATTGCGTACTTAAAATGAACATTCTCTCAAGCTGCGATAACTTTTATAATGAAAGCTGATGAAGAGAAACTCTAGATGGTTTATTTTAGCAAGGGGAATTTCGCTGCTGTTGCAGAACGTGTTCAGCGAACATTTCTATGCTCGTTTCTGTCGCCTTTCATTTCCTTCCAACGGATGTACAGAAACTTCAGCGTATGCTAATGGTTGTTTGGAGAAGTCGTTGCTTCTTGTTTTAAGTTCTACTCTTAAAACTAATAGGTCACAAGTTCGACTCCTATTTTGTCTAATGAATTTCGGTTGATTCTTGCCATCTATCGTGACCTGCAGATGATGACAGTCGATTCTGTTAACTGTGAGGTGTTTTAGCAGTATCCGACAGTGTATGATGCTTATCAAAGCTCTACACTCGAACTCATGCAGATTTGTTAGGGATCATGGAAAGTTGTCATCTGAATTGACAACAAATAGTGATCTTCCCTAGGGATACCCACTGTTGCTGTCCCTGTTTAAGTTCGTTTAGACATACTAATGCACATAACCTTAGGTAGATGTGACTACACGGAGATTGATCTACTCGAAGGAAGTGAACTGATTGATTTGGTTTACGCAGATGAAATTGTCGTGTTAGACGAAAATGCTGACAAAATGCAAGGTTTTCTAGATGTGTTGAGCAGATATCTGAGTATGTTTAGAATGCGTTTCACAGGAACCTGTCAAATGTAAAACAAGATTTCAGGACTGGTCTGCAGTTACTTCCATTTTTAAGGATAGGAAGCTAATGAAGTATTTGAATGTGTTTTCCACTTCACTTACCAGAACGTGCTTGTTACTGACGTAATCTCAGCTCGGATACACAAGGCTTGTTTGTTACTTGCTAACTTACTTCATCTCTGGAGCTAGTGGACAAGATATGCAACTATTTTTATGGAAGGTCGCGTATACTACTCTGTGCTGTTGTATGATTATGAGACAAGGCCGTTGAAAGATGTAAAGTGGTTGCAGGTTTTCAAACAGATGTGTATTCGCAGCATTGCTTAGTCTCATTAGAATGATCATATAAGCAATATGGAGGTCAGAAAAGACAGATAAGTTAGTCAGTGACGTTGTAAACCGTCAGCGACTGAGGTTGCTGGAACATGTCTTGTGCATACCGAGTCACCGCTTACGTAGATGTGCAATGCTAGGAGAAGTTGTATTGAGGGGGGAAATGGTTCATGTTGTTCGTGCCGAGACGTAACATCAGTCGCTGAAGTCCGGGTGTTAGTATGAGCCATGTAGAGAGGTGTAGACTACTTGGATATGACCCTCAGAAGGATAGGAATCAATGGTTGTAGATTCTTGGAGATGTGACCGAAAATTGATCAGATCTTTTCACTTTTTGGCCTATTCAAATTCCTGGACGTACTCACTAACCTTTATTTTCAAAGTTTTCCACCTTCCATACACGTCAAGTCAGTGCTTCTATATGGTTCAGAGACTTGTCATTTCCAACAAATTACAGGCATTCATCAACAACTACCTACGCTGGCTCGTTACTGAAGATCAGATGGCGAGAAAGAATAAGCAACAGGGAATTCTGGCAACGAACCAACCAATAACCTATCACCCAACAAATATGCAGAAGGAAGTGGAGATGGATTGGGCATACACTGAGAAGGCCGACTACAAACGTCACGCGTCAGGCCAGTTGCTCGAGTGGAACCCAGATGGGAAACGACGAGTTGGGCGTCCGAGGTGAGGGTGACATGAAGGAGATCGTGTGAGGAGGAAATGAGAGCTTCTGGACAGTCGTGGAGCCAGGTTGAAAAGATTGCAGAGAAGAGATTGGAATGGAGACGTGCTACTGAAGCCCTATGTTCCATTAGGAACGCAAGGGACAAATAATAATAATAACTTGTCTACCCACTTGTTCTTTGCATAGTGGTTTGAAGTATAGCAATTTAAATGGATACCTTTTTGTGTTAGGTTGTACTTTGATTTTTCTTTGTTTACAATGAAAAAAGCATGATGTTCACTGTTAATATAAAGTAGAATATTTCATCTTCCCCTTTTTTTTTTTTAATGTACCTTTTTATTTTAGGCGTATTTTGGTCACTCACATTGGGTTAATTATTTTCTGCATTCTGGTCATTTAACCATTTCTGGTTGTAAAATGTCGAAATCATTGAAAAATTTTATAACTATTCGTGATGCACTTAAAATGCAAACATCTCGACAAATTCGTTTTATCTTTCTTCTACATTCTTGGCGTGATACAATGGACTACAGTACTGATACATTGACTGAAGCTGCTGCTTATGAGAAACAATTGATTGTAAGATGTTAAATCTTTTGTGTTCAGTTTTACAAATTATGCATTGAAATTTTCTTGATTGAATTCTAATTGGTTTATTGATATATTTGTTGTGTTTATGTACCGTTTTTGTAGACAAAATGGCGCCTTTCATGAACCTTCATCGACTGAGATGGTTGGGACACGTACTACGTATGCCTAGTCACCGATTACCTCGTCACACAATGTTGGCTGAGGTGGGTTCAGGCTGGAAAAAGGCCCGAGGTGGCCAGACTAAAACATGGCACCAATGTATGAAGTCTCTGACTGTTGGTTTAAGCCATGTAGGACGATGCAGACTAGGTGGTTGGGGTCCACGGGACAAGAGGAACCAGTGGTTGGAGACCCTAGGTGATATGGCTCAGAACCGAAGTCAGTGGCGCAGATGTATACACACATTATCCTCATCTTAACAACGCTATACCGAATCTCACTATTTTGTCACTCCTCTTTCCTTTCTTCTCATACTTTATATTTCTTTTGACTGCATTCACTTATCTTCATCCTTCACCTCACTACCTTTTTACTTGATGTGTTGATATGAGGTGTGGCAACTCGGACCGTTACGCAGTAATGCCTGGTCCTATGTTGATAATGATGATGATGACATATATTCACTAACTTGATGATTGTTTGCTAAGGTTACAGTATTGTATGAATTTTATTCTAACTCAGTGTATCAGGAATAATTCACCTATCCTTAAGAATAAATTAATGGACGTACGTCATAGCATTGGATTGCATACTCATCTTAGCCAGGAGTTCAGTTGATCAGTGAAAAATGATATGAATGCACCAAAAACAAAAAAAATTACTACCAGAAGACGATTTATTGTTGGAAAAGGTTAGGAAACAGATGTTTGAGTGGTGTATCAGTCTTGATATCCTCAAATTGATGCCTTCCCTTCCATTCCTGCACCCCTGTTTCTTCTTTTTTTTGGTTTAAAGTTTATCAAGGAGATTATTGGATTTCGTTTACTGATATGAAATCAGATCTATGTGACTACTTTTGGCTCTTATGCCAAACATACTATTTCAATAAAACTTGTCTTCACTTAGTTGACTATTGGAAATGGGTGATTCGAAAAGTTCACATTGTTTTCTCATAGTTTAACTACGTGATCTGGTAGCAGATTCCTTTCCCTAACCGGCCGCTGTTTATTCAATCAGTTTGCAAGTTAGCGGGGATTTTATTGATTTCAAGTTGATATTCATCACGGATTGACATCAATTGAAGAACTATTGAAAGTACTTGAGCGTGGGACAGCTTTTTTATCTTAATGTGAAACTGTTCAGCATTACTCACACTGGATTCCATTACAGAGAAGGGGAAAATGACTCTCTATACGTATAAATTTATATATAGCTATAGTTATTTGCTTGCTATTATTTTGAGACCGTCTAGAAACTTTATCAAAAGATGCCTATCCTGTTCATCATGAGCCATAAAATCATCCACAGAAATCAACAAACGTATCATCCTACCGTACATAAAGAATATATCAGAGATCACGGCAAGAATACTGATACCATTCAAACTATACTATGCAGAGATCAAAGCTCACAACAACCTAAGAACTCAAACCAAATAATATTCACAAAATCAACTGCAATTCCTAGGAGCTTGGCATTCAAATCAGTCACTCAGCAATCAATAGATGTATAGACACAGATCCTAGTTATCAACCAATAAGAAAAGTGACAAACAACAAAAAGGTCAGAGGTTAAGCAAGGAAACAGCCAACAAGAAAATCTATACAGTCAGTGATACAACACTCAAAAGAAACAACCAACTGCGAACTACTTCGTCAGGGCATGCTACTGAAACACTCATGGAGAGATATTGTGATAGCTCCACTTTATATTGAAGATAGTGGTGATGATGTTATCTAGAAAGACAGTGAAAGCTTCACGATTAAAACACCTAGCTTAGAGAACACAACAAACATGTTTCTTGATGTTCAGGGAATCGTCTTTTATTTCAGTAGAAGTCATAACGATGTGAGTGTTGGGTATTTACCAGGCTGATAAACATTTCTTTGAAGTTCATATAGTAACATATTTGTTCTTAGTTATGAACTGATTACCAGGTTAATATTTGTTGAACGTTTCATTAATGTAAGTATAAAACTTGGGCATTGTGGTAGATACTTATTAGACTAATTAGACTTATTAGACTTATTAGACTAATTTATTTGATTCATAACACACAGTGATCTAGGATTATTTACTTGATTACGTTTCGAGCATAAATTATTACTACTCATAATCATATCAATGTAATCACACTTCTTTCGATATCTGAGTTGTATAGTCCTGTCACCTCTTATTCTCTGTTTCTATTACTAGGATACTTTTTTATATCTCTGGTGCTGAGTGTTGCATCATTTTTATTGGATGTGTTGGGTGGATGTCGATTTAATGAACAAAGATTCAATAATCAATAATCCCCTTCTCTCTCTACCTAACTAACTATATTTGACTTAAGTATAATGGTTTTATCCCAACCAGCCTATTGTGTGGTTTTGTGTTAATGCATGCATTGCAATAGTTGAATTGTTTTCAGATAAGCTTAAGGATTCGATAGAACCAATTGAGCAAAATAATTTAATCTATCAAACTGCATGTAGTGACTGTGATGCCAAGCATATAGGTCAAACTAGTCGGTCGGGATCAGTTAGAATAGCGGAACATAGGAGTTTATCTGGATGTAGAGTGGCACACCCGAATAAGATTAATAATCTAGAAAAACACTCGGCTATTGCTATGCTTGTCTTAACACACAGCCACACAATAGGGTGGGACAAAGCTGATGTACTTAATTAAGTGGGGAGAGAGATTGATCACTGAATCTTTGCTCATCGAATCAACACCTACCCAGCACATGTAATACAGATGACGCAACACCTTTACTAGAGATATGAAAGAAATTTACTACCAATAAAAATGAATAATATGAGGTGAGAGGACTATAAAACTCAGATATCAAAAGTTGTGTGATTCCATTGATATGATTATGAGCAATGATAATTTATGCTCAAAACGTAATCGAGTAAATAATACTATATCATTCTGTCAGCAGACAGCGGAATGAGAAAATTGTTACAATCGTGAAAGCATATGCGATTAGAGTTCGTAAACCGAGTTTATGTGTACAGAAAGAGTTGCTAGTCACCCTGAATCTACCATTGTAGGGGCGTTGAAGTATTTTGAACATATTTATTTTTATTTATAAATGTTTTATTTCTCCACTTTCTTTCTTATACTTCACTATCTTTCTGCTGTACTATCATATCCTCTTGAACTTCTCCACTTACTAGTCAAATGACTTATCTCCATTGTCGTTGTTATCTTCCAACTATTACTGTAGTCTTTTAGTTTTACACCTCTCAAGCTTCTTAATTCATGTTCATTTACCTTGTTTCAAAATGACGTAACTTTTAATCTTTTCAATATTCATGTTCTCATTGTTATCATTATCAGTATTGTCACTCACTCGTACTATTATTACTATTATTATTGTTTATAGTAATGATAAGCAGTGGCTAGCAGTGGAATCCAGGATGCGCATTTCGTCCTATTTAGGGCTCGTCAGCTGGATGTACCTGCCTCTCAGTGAGTGATGTTATTCTCACCTTGATTCGGACTCAGGAGAGATCGCTTCAAACGCGAGAGCTTTATCCACTACACCACCGAGCCACGATAGTCACTTCTTGTGCGACGAGTATAGTTTTTAGTGTTATTGCTTGTATTACACCATCATTGATTGGACCGAATTCATCAGTCTCTGTTGGAATATGAACTCCTGTGCGGATGCCCCGATTTTGCCTGTGTTTCAGTTATGTGTAGTAATGATGGAATCCAGGATGCGCATTTCGTCCTGTTTGGGACTCGTCAGCTGGATTCCACTGTTAGCCACTACCCATCATTACTACACATAACAGAAACACAGGCAATATCGAGACATCCGCACAGGAGCCCATGTGCCAACAGAGACTGGTCGATTGGGTCTAATCAATGACGGTGTTCCTAGTGGAACATAGGGCTTCAGTAGCACGCCTCCATTGCACTCTCTTCTCTGTAGTCTTTTCAACCTGGCTGCATGACTGTCCACAAGTTTTCATTTCTTCTTCATTATTATTACTATAATCAGTATTTTTGTTTACCTACAATCTGTATTCTCTAAGTATACACCTTTATCAATCTATTTAGTTGACTACTAATTATTCTGTTCGAAATGATGTAATTCATCCCTAGTTCTTTTTATTTTTCATTATCAGTTCGCTATCCCCTCCCAACCTAATCTTAGCTCTGTTTGACATAAATAAATAATTCACTCCGTGTTGTCATGCCTCAATCAATATCTTAGTCTGTATTATGTACAACAGTATATAAAATCATATGCGTAGAGTATAAAGCTGATGAGTCGTACTGAAATTTGTGCGTTTGTTGCTTGTTCGGGAAACAAAATGTTTTCATATCACACTATGTGTTATAAATCTAACATGGAACAATATTTGCCTCTCTAGAAATTGAATATATTAACCTCGAACTGACTGGGAATGTTTTAAGTTAGAGTTGTTCTCTGAACTAGGAAGACTTCTTTTGTGAAGAGCTCTGATAACGAAGCCTGGCCGTAATATATAAAAAAATATATGCCTCAGTTGTGAAAACAATTCATTTCGAACACTGACAGCCTTATCAAATGCTTATATCAGTTTTGTAACTGACTCTATAGAGGGTATGTGGATGATATCTTTGTAATATGTGACACAGATGAGGATGCCAAGAGGTTGTTAAAAAGGCTTAATACCGTACAAGATCATATCAGTCTGACATGTGAGGAAGAAAAAGACCATCAACTTACATTTCTTGATATACTCTTGTGCTGGAGGGAAGATGGATCTTTAAGACGATCAATATATAGGAAGTCTACTTGGACAGGACAGTATTTGAATTTCCATAGTTTCTGTCCAATGAAATACAAGAGAGGCTTGGTAAGATGCTTGTTCAATAGAATCCAACATATTTGTACATCTGATACGATGGATGATGAGAATAAGTTTTTGACAGACACTCTAGTGGAAAACGGTTATCAATTTCAGTTTGTCAACCATTGTAAAAAACAGTTGACCCCAAAGCCTACAGTTTCCTCGGTCCCGAAGAAAAGCATATTTCTTAAAGTACCATACAGAGGGGAAACAAGTAGTATGATATTGAAGCAGAGATTAAAATCTGTTATCAGTAAAATATACTATGCAGCTCAGCTTATCATTGTTGAGACGACAAAACACCTGCTTCACCACAAACCTCAACCTCGCATAAATGATTACATCACATTCTACTGCTTTTACCAATTTACATGTGTGTGGGCACACACATAGAGAGGAGTAATCGTTCAATGCAGACTAAGGTGGGTGAACACATCCCCAAATGGCTAGAAAAACAGTTTAACACACAAACTTTGATAAGTGCAGGTGACAGACATCCATCGTCATCTATAGCAAAACATATGATTGAAATGAATCACAGGGTTAATACGAAAACAGCGTTTAAGATAATATACAGGAATAATCAGGGGTGCATAGTGAAGTTTACCGAAGCGTTAGCCATTCGTAAACTTAATCCCCCACTGTGTGTACAAAAACAATTTGTTGTTTCACTTCATTTACCTTGGTAATCCTTGGCAATCTGATTATATTACCAAGACTAGTGTCACAACCTTTTCATATTCACTATATAAATTGACTTGACAAGTAAATGTGTGGAACATCAGATTGTTTGAAATGTATTGCGCGAAAATACATCACATTTTTCAGATAATCTTCGTCGTCTAATAGCGTTATCGAAATTTATTAGATTTAATCCAAATGATTTGTTTCTTGTTCCTGTTATATTTTTATTATTGTAAAATTATTTAATTAACTCAATCGTGAGCTAACAGAAGTTGGAAATATGGAGCATTGGATTCTGACCCAGTGGTTCAATGGTAACGCGCTGGCCGCGGAACCTGAAGGTCGCGGGTTCGATTTCTGCTGGTGGTGGGGTCGTGGGTGTGCACTGCTGAGGAGTCCCATACTAGTCGGACGAAACAGCTGTCCAGTGCTTTCAGGTTTCCTTTGTTCCTTCAACTGATGTCAGTCTACAATGAATAACAACTTGAAATTAACTCATAGTTCATTTTAACTGATCATTTATGAAATTATTTAAAATTTTTGTATGTTTTAGGACTTTTTTTATACTTGTTCAAATCTACAGTATATCGCTAAACAATATCTATCAAATAAATTTATTTCTAAGAAAAGTGAAAATGATAACTTTAAGCAAATTCTAATGGATATTCAGCAGAAAGTTTATGATGCACTATGCGGTGAGTACAATTCAAGGATCGTTATTTTTCCTTCTTGTAAACTTTAAATTCTAGGAATATATCTTTTGATTTAGTATTATTGCTTATATTATATTGATTTGACTGAATTGACCAGTCTCTGTTGACATATGGGCTCTTGTACATCCAGCTGATGAGTCCCAAATAGGACGAAATGCGCATCCTAGATTCTACTGCTAGTCACTATCTATCATTACTATTGTTTATATCAATGTACTCATATCTTTGTTTATTTTGAAATTGTCAACATCATTTCATTGAGAAAAATTCTTTCTAACATTGTCACTATTTATAATGACTTCAAGAAATTTAAAGCAACTGGTCCCTTTGATAAATTTAAACAGCGTAATGAGAACACGAAGATTATCTGAAACATGTCGTGATGTATTAGCGCTATGCATTTCGAACAATCTGATCCCATACACATGGACTTGAACTATTTATATGAAAATTTACCAAAAGGTCAGTGAAGTTAATGGGAAACATAGGAATAGGAAGGGATAGAAAAAAAGGAAAATCTTATTCTTGGTATGAAAATTAAAATCAATACTACCAAGGTAGGTTCAACGTGAGTACAAATTGTTTTTGTATACATAAAGGGGTTTAAATTTACGGATGGCAAGAGCTTCAATAAATTTAAGCACTCGGCTCTGACCACTTTTATGTAATACTTTAAAGGCTGTTTTCATGTCTATCCTATGGTTAGTTTCTAGTATATGTTTGGCGATAGACGAAGATGGATGTTTGTCACCTGCACTTATCGGATCTGTTGAGGTCATTTGTTTTTGTAGCCACTTAGGTACATGTTCAACCTTCCTTAACTTCATATCACGATTACTCCTCCCTATATATGTGTGTCCACACATACATGTAAATTGATAAACACAGTGGGATGTGATGTAATCGTTTATATGTTGTTTTGGTTTGTGCTGTAACATGGACTTGGTCTTCTCTACAATGTATAGCGCTAATACATCACGACATGTTTCAGATAATCTTCGTCTTCTCATTACGCTGTTTAGACTTCAAGAAAGTTATTTATTTGCTATAACGGAGAATTAATAAGTAAATTGCGCAATAAAAAGGAGTTCATTGACTCGTGATTTGTTTGATTGATACTGTGACTAACTAAATGAGTAAATACTGTTGAATAAACCCTCGATTTATTGACACAACACTACACTGACCTTATATAATATGATACAACAAGTAATGGACAAACAGATAAAATCAACGTAAAACCTTACAAACAAAGTTCTTCGGTTCAACTTGCCACACTTCCCAGTAGTACATAAAGAATAAGTGGATAGAAAAAGAGCGATATCAAAAAAGATTAAGTAGTGTCAGAGAATAAACAAATTGGAAATAACGGTTAGTGTGAGAACATTCATGCTTTAGAAGATACTTCAGCGCCATTGTGGTCGATTTTCAACCCTGTCACCAAGATTTCTCTGAGACATAGCGATAAAAAGGCAGCCAATAGGGGAGTTGTTTTCAAGTCATGATCAGATCATGTTTAGGTCATGATTTATGCATGCACCGATATGAGAACCTGATTGGATAAATTCGACTTCATACAAGAAATCGGATTGGTTCATTTTATGGCTTCACTTTCTGAGTTTTGCGAATACATGTATATCATGTATTTACCAAATAAAATTTGTCGTTGTTCGTGCAGTCACAGGCTATCTTTTGGTTTTACGCGGCTCAGTGAAGCACAAGGTACTGAGGAAGGTCAGTCATAAAAGAAGTCGGTTGAGGTGTCCATTGAGTCTCAGTATCATTATACCCACGCACGCAACCCCACCACACGGTCACAACATCTTCAACCACTGATCCATCTTGGAGACCCTCATCAGCAGTCTATATCTCCCCACACAGCTCATACCAACAGTCATGAACTTCATCGAGTAGTACCACGTCCTCGTCTACACACACCTTGAATGAAAACTCTTCCAACCTAATCCAACATCCTCTAGCATTGTGCATCGAGGTAGGCAGTGACTCGAAGTACCCAATACATGTCCCAACCATCTCAGTCAAATAAACTTCACAATCACATTCATTCGCTTGTCTGTCTATCTTCCCACTTAGTTCCATTCGCTTGACCTCAACATTGATCACACGGTGATTCCACCAGACGTGAGTAATACTACGAAAACATCTGTTATCAAAACCCTGTAACCGTTCCATGTTTTCTACTTTTAACGGCCGATGACGGGACAGAATGGACTGCAGCGCAGTATACTCACTCGTTCTTCGATAGATAGTCGAATGTCTCTCCAGAAATTTTATAACAGATAAGGAATACAAAATTACTATATATTATGTGATTAAATAAAGGATCTTAATTGTCACGTCTAAGGAGCATGTTAGTAAATAAAGAATATTTGGCGCCAAAGGAGTACATCGTTTCGTCTCTTCGATAATCATGTCCACAGGATAATCAGTATGATCAGGTGTATCTTTCAAAGGCGATTCATATAATTTATTTTATATAGCCTATTGGTTTACGATGTTGACTTCCAAGCAAGTAGGTCGTGGGTTCGAGCCCTGTTCCGCCTACCAACATTTGGATAGCCACACACTAAGTGTGGTTCATTGCCCATCACACCAACGTGTTTGTAGTTTCTGAATGTATTTCGATTTTGATATCAGGTTTAAAATTCGCCGTTTCATGTGTTGACGTAACACATTGTTCCAAATCTCTGTGAATTTTAGACAATCTGTATAGTTGTGGAAAATCAAAACTTATAGGTTTTAGTTCAGTAAATTCTTTTTCACTGATGATGGTTTACTCGTATACAGGTTATTCAACAAATGCAGACAATATAGGGACCTAAAAATAATGTAGTTTAAGGTTATGACATCTGTTCGATAAACGATTGCGTAATACTTAATAATGCTACTAATTTGGTACAAGATGACAGTAATAGGATGCACTGACAATGATCAAATGGTGAGTGTATGTGTAGTACCATAGAAACAACGTCACAATAAAAGTCATATCAATAATAGACTATAATAACGATGAGGAAACATTTGTTTTTCATCCCAGTCTATAAGAAGGGGGATAAATCTTCTTGTGACAATCATAGGGGAATTAGTTTGATAAATATTGTGTCGAAGATCTTGACATCTATAGTTACCCAACACCTAATTGGAGCTGGAAAACACCGAACTCGAGAAAATCAGGAAGGTGTCAGACATAGCTGGACGAGGGTGCATCGATCACATTTTCACTATCCGACGGGTTCTGCAACATAGACATATCTACTGGCGGCCGACACTTGTCATATTTCTTGACTTGAAGGTGGCATTTGATTGTGTTGACAGTGAGGTGTTGTGGCAGTGTCTGACTGTGTAGCGAGTGCCGAGAAGGTATATAACGGTATTGAAAGCTCTCTACTCAAAGTCACGTAGCTGTGTATAGGCTTATAGAGAGTTGTCCTGTGAATTGACAACTAGCGGTGTCTGTCAGAGATGCCCACTGTCATCGTCCCTATTGAACTTCTTCATGGACTTGCTAACTGACATAACCTTAGGCACGTTTGACTTCACAGGGATTGACCTACTCCATGGAGGTCATGTGGTTGACTTGGAGTATCCAAACGATATTGTCGTGCTAGGTGAAGACACCGAACTCGTTTAGCAGAAATCTGGGTGTGTTTGCCATGGGTTTCGCTAGCAGGAGTGGTCTGCTGCAAGTCCAATGATAGGGACTTGGTAAAGTGATGGAATGTATCAACTACTTCACTTACTCGGGGAGTTGCATGGGTGCGAACAGGCTGGTTTCTGACAAAATCTCAGCTGGGATACAGAAGGCCCGTTTGACACCTGTCAACCTGCATCATGTGTGGCACCATTTGGGGAGATATCCGTTTATCTATCGAAGAACGAGTGAGTATACTGCGCTACAGTCCATTCTGTCCCGTCATCGGCCGTTAAAAGTAGAAAACATGGAACGGTTACAGGGTTTTGATAACAGATGTTTTCGTAGTATTGCTCACGTCTGGTGGAATCACCGTGTGATCAATGTTGAGGTCAAGCGAATGGAACTAAGTGGGAAGATAGACAGACAAGCGAATGAATGTGATTGTGAAGTTTATTTGACTGAGATGGTTGGGACATGTATTGGGTACTTCGAGTCACTGCCTACCTCGATGCACAATGCTAGAGGATGTTGGATTAGGTTGGAAGAGTTTTCATTCAAGGTGTGTGTAGACGAGGACGTGGTACTACTCGATGAAGTTCATGACTGTTGGTATGAGCTGTGTGGGGAGATATAGACTGCTGATGAGGGTCTCCAAGACGAAAGGAATGAGTGGTTAAGGATTCTTGATGATATAGCTGTATATCCATCGCAACTCTTACACAAATTTGTCTACTTTAATGTCAATCTTTTTCTATCCGCCTATGTTTTGTTTTTTGCTGTGAAGTGTGACAACTTGGGCCGGAACACGTGTTCGGGTTTCTACGTTTATTTGATCTATAGTTTGCTTATAATGATTTTTGCAGAGGATGAAAATAACACTGGGCAATTAGATTGAGGAAAATATCATCAGTGAAATTATTGTATGAAGCGAAAAGTAAGGTTACACATTGAAGTGAAGAAAGTAATATTTGTTCTGTGATAGCAAACTTTATCAATAGCCTTGTCTGTAATCTCTTTATGATCACATTTCCAGTTTACTTGACATTATTACTTGTCATAGTAGTGTGTATCATCCAAATAATGTTTTTTTTTTCATTTATTTACTAGATTCGTGTGATACTCGAACTGTACTGGATAATCTCAAGATTTTAATGTCTGAAGTTGATTCAAAAATATTTAGTCAAATTAACACAGACAAGTGTTTATTTCAACTAGCAGATAATGCTTTTACAGCTGGTCGTTTCATTCTTCAGATACTACGTATTTTTGGTATTGCAGATCATACTGCTGTTTCTTTAGGTTCACCAGTTCCATCAGAATATATTATAGCTGGTAGTAAAGTTTTAGAAGACTATACGCATATTTCATTGACGGAAATTGATGATAACGTATTTGGTTTACGTTGTTGGCTTTCTCTGGATACTCTAACTGAAGAACGTCTCATTTCTACAGTACAGGAGTCATTGAATGCTGCCTGTTTATTTATTAAGACTTTAATTAGTGAAGGTTAGTTTTATGCTTACCATTCAACTTTTTATATTTATCTAAGCTGCTAAAAACAGTATTCTATTGTAATACATGACAAAGGCCTTGAAATTTCAGTATTCATTTCGACCGTTAGAGTAAAACTTTAATACTGTATCCGATTATTATTTTGAAATACGTTAGTTTATTTCACATAACTAACACACGGTGATTCAGTGTTATACACTTAATGGGCAACCAGGTAGTATCATCATTAACCCTGTCACAATAGGTGTGGCTCATTGTCTACTACACGAATGTGTACTTAATGACTGAATGCGCTTCTACTACTATTATTTTATTATTATTAGTCCCCTGGGTTCCTAATGGAACATAGGGCTTCAATAGCACGTCTCCAGTGAAATCTGTTCTCTGAAATCTTTTGAACCTGGTTCCACGACAGTCCAGAAGCTCTCATTTCCTCCTCGCACGATCTCCTTCATGTCACCCTCGCCTCGGACACCCAACTCGTCGCTTCCCACCTGGGTTCCACTCGAGTGTCTGGCCTGATGCGTGATGTTTGTAGTCGGCCTTCTCAGTGTATTCCCAATCCATCTCCACTTTCTGATGCATATTTGTTGGGTGATAGGTTGTTGGTTGGTTCGTTCCCAGAGTTCCTTGTTGCTTATTCCTTCTGGCCATCTGATCTTCAGTAACGAGCCAGCGTAGGTAGTTGTTGATGAATGTCTGTAGTTTGTTGGAAATGCCTTTCGTAACACGCTAAGTCTCTGAACCATATAGAAGCACTGACTTGACTGAATTGGTGTTGAAAATCCGGATGTTGTTCTGTATACTGAGTGCAGAAGATCTCCACACTGGTTACAGAATAATGAACGTCAGTCTTGCTGTCTTTCTCATCCTGGCTGGCTTTGACGTCCTTGTCTGTGCCTGTGCCGCCTGTAGTTGAAACAGTGCTTCCTAGAAAGGTGGGTGAAAGAGGCTACGTCCCTTAAGTTTCTCCCACTGATGGTGATTGGAGTTTGTTGTTGTTGTTGTTGGTGGTGGTGCGGTATCTTCATCACTTCTATCTTCTCTATATTCACTTGGAGTCCCGTCTTCACTGCCTCTTGTGTCAACTTGTTAGTTTTCGCCTGTAAATCTTCAACTGTGTGCGACATCAGACACAAGTCATCGTTGGCGGAATCCAGATCTTCTAGGTTCTTTTCCGCGGTCCAGTGTATCCCCCTCTTCTCGCTCCTCACTGTTTGCTGCATGATCCAGTCGACCACAATCAGGAAGATCATGGGTGATAGTAGACAGCCTTGTTTCACTCCTGTCTTCATTTCACTTCAGTGGCATCACTGAGCTTCTCATTGTGAATTACTTGGCTGGCATGTGGCATCTCCATATAGTTGTTGAATGAGGCTTATAAAGGTTTGTGGTATTCCGTAGCATTGAAGCAGTTTCCAAATTACCACTTGGTCGACGCTGTCAAAGGCCTTCTCAAAGTCGATAAAGTTGAGGTGTAGAGTTGACTGCTATTCTATGCTCTGTTCTATGATGATGCGAAGCGTTGCAATTTGGTCTGCACATGATTTGTACTTCCTGAATCCAGCCTGCCTGTTCCGGTGGTAGTTTTGAATCGAGTGCATCCTTTAGCCTCTCCAGGATGATGCGGCTTAATATTTAGCTTGCATCGGGTGGACAGGAGAGTGATTCCGCGTCAGTTCTTGCAAAGACTTAGGTCTCCCTTCTTCGGGAGTTTGACAAGGTAACCCTTCTTCCAATCGCCATTTACCTTCTGCGCTTCTACTACTAGTAAACAATACTGTATCATTGTGTCCTATATCATGTAAATTAATCTAATGTGCATTCTATTTGGAGTCTTAAGTTGAAAATTTATTATAAATATATTTTGAATCAATATTTACACACAATGATGTTGTTTAGTTTTGTGGTAGTATTTCGAGCATTCCGTGATTATATCAGTTGTTGGAATTATTTATTCACACATCTATATAAATATATTGCTTTTATTTTGTAGATTTGTCATTATTTTTCTCCAATTTACTATGTTGCACAAGTTAGGTGTAACTTGTTGGCAAATAGATTCAGTCAATAATTTAGTTGATTGGAATGACTTGGATATGTATTGAGCATGCCAAGCCCATCACCTACCCTCGATGTGTCATTTAAGGGAATGTTGTATTAGGTTGGAAGAGCTGGAGAGAGTTGAGGATGGTCAGATCAAAACGTAGTACCATTCGATGAAGTCTCTGAGTCGTGTAAAGAGGTGTAGACTACCGGGCTGGGTTCCCCGAGTTATAAGAGGAATAAGTGGTAAGATGGCTGGGAATGAGTCACAATGTCGCAGATGCATTCACCCGTTGACATCTAAAGCGTGAATATTTTCACTAACCTTTGTCTTCAGATTGTTTATTCTCTCACACTCTTTTATGTTCTTTGATACAACCTTTTCTATCAACCTATTCGTTGTGTACTATAGTGAAGTATGGTACCTTGAGTTAATGCACAAGTGTGCGAGGTTCTACGTTGCTTTAGTCTGTCTGTCAGTCAATCAGTCAACAATCTTTCTTCCCATTTGTTCATTTCAGACTCTAACATATCAATATTGTCTCAATCACTATTATGTTTTTCATCCCACATATGCATATGCGTGCTGTCGATGAACTCATCCAAATTTCTCTATTCTTGTATCCTTGTCGGTTGACCTATAAGTTAATCATGTATAGTAATGATGGGTAGTGGCTAGCAGTGGAATCTAGGATGCGCATCTCGTCCTATTTGGGACTCGTCAGCTGGATGTACCTGCCTCTCAGTGAGTGATGTTGTTCCCACTGGGATTCGGACTCAGGAGCGATCGCTTCAAACACGAGAGCGTTATTCATCATTACTATACATAATTAAAACAAGCAATAATCGAGGCATCCGCACAGGAGCCCATATGCCAACAGAGACTGGTCGATTGGATCCAATCAACGACGGTGTAATACAAGCAATAACGCTAAAAACTATACCCGTCGCACAAGAAGTGACTATCGTGGCTCGGTGGTGTAGTGGATAAAGCTCTCGCGTTTGAAGCGATAGCTCCTGAGTTCGAATCCCGGTGAGAATAACATCACTCACTGAGAGGCAAGTACATCCAGCTGACGAGTCCCAAATAGGACGAGATGGGCATCCTGGATTCCACTGCTAGCCACTACCCATCATTGCTATGCATAATTAAAAGATAGGCAATATTGAAGCATCCGCACAGGATTCCATATGCCAACAGAGACTGATCAATTCGGTCAAATCAACGACGGTGTATTACAAGCAATAACACTTTAAGTTAATCGTTGATGTTCATTTAGTCTGATTTTGAGTGATTTTGACATTTGACCTATATAGTTTATTAACTGACCCATCGGCACAAAGTATTTTGTTCACCACATTGTTTTTGTCTAATTTTTTTTATTGGATCTTTCAGTTGATTTAATTTACATTTTAGCCAATGCAAAGAAATCTCAGAACAGCAGGTATTCAAACCACATGTAAGCTTATAAACCTCATCTTGTGTCGACTATTCAGTTAACTAACTATGTAGTTCAAATGTCAAGATCATACTATATCAGATTTAATGAACATTGAGGACTAACTAAAGGTCAACCGACAGGGACACATAAATATGGAAATTTGGAAAAGAGTTCATCGATAGCACTCATTTGCATGTATGGGATAAAAAACGTAAAATGGATTGGGACAGTGTTGATATACTAAAGTCCAACATGATTAAATGGAAGTAAACATTATAATCTAATTGGTTGTGGCTTGTAGATGGATCCAGGACATACGTTTCGTCCTGTTTGGGACTGATTATCTGGATATATCTGCACCCCAGTGCATAGCGACGTTGTTCCCACTGAAACTCGAACGCATTACCCATCGCTTCGAATACTAAAGCGTTACCCATTAGGCCACTGGGGTACGATAACCACCTCTTGTACAACGGGTTTTAGTTATTATTTATTGATATACTTGTAATTCTCTCGTGTTGTAGTGGACCAAATATTTTGACCTCTGGTATATGTGGGATCCTATGCGGATGCCTCTATATTGCTCGAATACTGTAATCATTTACTTGGTTGTGGCTATTAAAGGAGCCCAGAATACGCGTTCCGATCCAGTGTATCAACTGAGAATTACAAGTATATCGAAAAATAGTGGTCATAAATTGATTCTCTTCAACTTTGATAATTGCTACTACACTATTGCAGCGGAGACCATTCATTACTTATCACTTATCAGATAAGATTTAGATTCATTCCTTTTGTGTTGCATGAAATCATCAAAAACATTGCATTCATCTAAAAATATTTATTGCTCTGAAGTTAATTACCAGTGTACTCAATCGTCACCTTGATGGAATGACGATATGGCTGAAACTATCTACGCACCGTTGAATCCTTTGTGATAACAACTACCGAAGTATGTTTAGCTTTTCCTAGGATTTTAGTACATCATGTAAAGCGCACTTCTCTCTTCACACTGTGAGTAGAGACATAAACTGTCAGAACGCTTAACATGCGTTTAGTTTTCACATTCTAAAGAATTAAATCTTGTCAGTATCAGGAATCCTTCAACGTTATGCTTCGTAAGTTTTCGGTGGTTGGAATCGGTAGGTAGGAAACACAGAACCTAGGTTTCATGCTTGTTGGTACTTATCATCTTCATGATTGTAGTGGACTGGACTGGATCATGCAGCAAACCGTGAGGAGCGAGAAGACAGGCATACGCTGGCTGGACAGATGAGAAGACGCTAGAATATTTGGATTTCGCCAACGATGATGATTTATGTCTAATGTGTTATATCGCACACACTCGAAGATCTGCAGGCGAAAACTAACAAGTTGTAAGAAGAAAGGAGGCGAGGCAGCGAAGATGGGATTTCAAGTGAACGTTGAGAAGACAGAGGTGATGAGGACATCCAGCCGAAAACAACAAGCACCAATCACCATCAACGGGAGAAACCTAAAGGAAGTAGCCTCTTTTAACTACCTAGGCGGCGTCGTTTCAACTACAGGTGGTACAAATGAGGATGTCGAAGCCAGCCAGGATCAGAAAGACAGCAAGATAAGCCTTCATTAATCTGAAATCAGTGTGGAGATCTACTGCAGATCACTCCACTCCACTCATCATAAAGCGTGAACAAGATCCGGATTTTCAACACTAGTGCTAGTCAAGTCAGTGCTTCCATGTGATGGTTCAGAAACTTGGCGTGTCACGAAAACCACTTCCAACAAACTACAAACATTCATCAACATCTGCTGCTTATGCTGACTCAATACTGAAGATCAGATCAGGTGGTCAGAAAGAATAAGTAACGAGGAACTCTGGCTGACTGGCAACGAACCAACCAACCAAGAACCTATCGCCCAATAAATATGCAGAAGAAGAGGGTGGAGATGGATTTGATTGGGCATACACTGAGAAGATGGTTTGGGGACGTCAGGCGTCAGGCGAGGTCGTCGAGTGGAACTCAAATGGGAAACAACGAGTTGGATATCCGAGTTGAGGGTGATATGGAGGAGAAGGTGTGAGGAAGCAAAGAAAGTTTGTGAACAGGAATTCATGGAGCCAGGTTAAGAAAGGTGGAGGGAAGAGAGTGAGAAGCTGACGTGCTAGTGAAGCTATATGTTCCACTAGGAACTCAGGAGAAAAATAATAAAATGTATCCTATACGAATATCTGCTAAACACATAGGAGTAAGTAACGCTTATGTATTGTTAGTGGGTTTTTGCATACTTAAGAATCAGAAAATATCAATTTTCAGTCTTTCGACCACTCAACTAAACTTTAGTCATACTAATATGTCAACCGAAGTTTGAAAAAACTGTCTGTTTTTGCTCATTAGTAGTTTAGACGAAGCGGAGTTTCTGTTCAACATGCTACTCTTCACAGTAGTATAGAAAAAACAAGTAGATGGAAAATACTGATATCTTAAGATAGATAAAGTTGTGTGAGAGAATAATCACTTTGAAGATAAAGGTTACTGCAAATATTCAAGCTTTAGAAGATGTCAAGGAGTGAATACGTCCATACCACTGTAACCGATTTTCAGTTAGGTTACCTAGAGTCCTTGAATCATTGGTTCCTATTACTGTTCAACTTTTTCTTAAGCTTGATAATTTCCACTAATCTTTATCTTCACATTATTTATCCTCCCATTCATCTTTGTCTACTTGGATATCAGTCTTTTCTTATCCACTTATTCTTTTCATACTGTTTTGAAGGATGATATATAGAGCCTTAAGCACTTCTGTAAGAGGTTCTGCGTTGAGTTTGTCTGTCCATGTACGCTTGCCGTAACTGTATATTTAAAGGTTCACCTCTTTTTCTTCTATTCCCAGTAAGCCTTAAGCCTTAAGTAATACTGATCCTGGCTACTAAGTACTGATGATGAATGTATTGATTTTTGAAGAATAAACGATTGCTCTTTCATATTAGATTTGTTTATTTGATATAAAGCGCACAGTGATACAGTATTACTTACTTGATTACGTTTCGAGCATAAATTATTGCTCATAATCATATCAATGTAATCACACTTCTTTCGATATCTTGTTTTATAGTCCTGTCACCTGATCTCTCTTTGTTTTTTTGTTTTTTGATTGGTAGTAAAGTTTTCCATATCTCTGGTATAGGTGTTGCGTCATTCCTATTACATGTGTTGGGTGTGGATTCGATGAACAAAGATTCAGTAATTAATCTCTCTCTCTCCACCTAGCTATATTAGACTTAAGTACAGTGGTTTTGTCCCATCCTATTGTGTGGTTGTGTGTTAATGAATGTAATGCAATGGCTGAGTGTTTTTCTAGGTTATTGATCTTATTGGGGTCTGCCGTTCTATGTTTAGCTAAATTCCTATGTTCTGTTAATCTAACTGACCCCGACCGGCTAGTTTGACCTATGTATTTGACTTCATAGTCATTACATGGAATTTGGTAGATTATATTATTTTGCTTAATTGGTTCTATCGGATCTTTTAGCCGACAAAGCTTACCTCTAAGTGAGTTTGTTGGTTTAAATGCCACCCTAATTCCAACCTTGTTGACAATCCTACGTATGGTTTCTGATGTTCCTTCCTTGTATGGTATCACAATAGAGGTGCTGATTTCCTTTCTACTTATGTTGTCACTATTATTTGTATTTGTATTAGTGTTATTATTTTGCTTCTTATGTGTCCGTGTGAATTTCTTAATAAAATGATGGGGATAATTATTAATTATTAACGCTTCTTTTATGTGTTTCAATTCCTTTTTTAAGTCCTTACAATGACTAGTGAGTTTCTCAGCTTTGTTATTTAGACATTTGACTAAACCCGCTTTAACTGACACTGGATGAGATGACTTGAAGTCTAGATATCTGTTAGAATGTGTTGGTTTTCTGTAGACGGTAGTATCTAAACCACCATCTATCCTTCGTTTTATTCTGTAATCCAACATAGGTAATTCTCCTTGTTCATTTTCTACTTCGTAAGTGAATTGGATTGCTCTTTGTTATTTCCATAGATTCAGTACTTCGAACAAATTTTATGAACAATAGAGGATTCAGATACTATTTCATTATTTAAATTTCTGAAGTATATTTTCCTTAAATTGTTCAGGTGATACATTTAATCGTGTTGTGCATACATACACGAATGAAATCAACGAAAAGTACGGTATCAATTTGATCACTTTGGAACTGGATGGTAAACGTAAGCTACCTCAGTGTTCTTATTGGATATCCTTCACAAATTAACAGTTAACGTATATTAACTTTACAACAATATGTTTGTTTACAGTCAGCATTTGTATTATTTTCTGTTCATCACTGAAGCAATCCTGACCTGTTGATGGCATCATTTTGAGGAAATGGGATATGTTTTGTGAAGTGTTTTAATACTCAAACGCTTTTCACACATAAAGGATATCAGAGAACAAAACATGGTCATATTCAGCGCCATGTTTGATCTCATCTCAGGTCACTAATCTCTTGGACCACATTCAGAAATTTATGATGGTATGGTCGATCAAAATAGTTTTATCCTATAAATACCATATTGTACACGAATCACTTCTTCAATCTTTTTCAAGCAGTCACAAGTCTAGCAAACAGCATTACTGACTCACTGATTGCATATATGGTGATAAATGACCAACCCATTAAAACCGGTATTTAAAGATGAAAACACTTAGTAAATAGCATTCTGCATCAGATCTAGACATTTTCTGTTTAACTTCAAAGTTAGTTAACTGCCGTTTCTATCAGATGTGAACAATTCCTTGAAGGAAACAGAATTGTTTGACATCTTCAGCTCAATAAAATCAGATTACATTAAAGTAGACCAGAACTGCTTATACCGAAGCATTGTGCACCTGACCTTTTACAACCAATACCCACATCATTAGATGAAATATTTGTAGCCAGTAGTCTACAAGAGTTCAGATGCTTATCCACAACCGCATTTATCAACTCGGTTAGGTGTGTGCTAATTGCTGTACTAACAGCCTTCAAAATCATTTGCAATAACAAAGTAGTCCTTTTTCTGGAGTCCAGGAAAGAATAAGGGGAAGCAATAAGTAAGTATAGGTAAAACAGGAATTAATGAAATGTAAGAGTAGAGGCTGAGTTAAACCAGACAGTCTGAGTTTCCTGATATAAAAGGTCAAGCGAAGGATTTTCCTAGAAATCAGTAAGATATGAGGGGATCAAGAGAGATCAGAAGAAAAGCATAATCCAAGATGGATCACGCTTACTACATTCTCTATAACAGAGGCATCTAGGAGACAAGAGTCATGGGATTGAAACAATGTGAAAAGGTCTTTTTCATGTCTTAAGCTGAAATTCACCATCTGACATTTGGAGGGATTGGGTGTGAGGCCATTTAAGGAAGACCAGTAACCAATTTCCTTTAAGAACTTGTTAAACTGTGAACGATCAGAAGAGATGATCGGCATGGGTACTTTCAGGTCATCAGCATACTTAACATAGTTAGCTTTAGTTGAGGTTGGTAAGTCATGCTAAACGAAGGAGAAAAGGAAAGGAAAAAGAATAGTATCTTGAGGCATAACGGCTTCACCACCAACAATGAGTTCAGATGTAGACTGTTGTCAATTTTGTAAAAGCTTCTTGAATTCTGATGGTTCAAAGTGCATACTGTACTTATGGATATTGTATGTTGTCACACAGTGAAACGATGTGGTTTGCATACTAGAGGTTGAAGTGTTTTTATTCTATTAGATCTATTCCGTTAGCATGCATTTACTTCGAAGCTGACTCAAGAGCGTCATGGATGATGAAATCCAGTAACACTGGTTTGCGGCGATGGGGGGATTTAGTTGTATATCCTCACTTTATTTAAAGTTTCTTTGTATGTGACTAAAATGTGCAACGGACAGTTCCATCTAATGGATAATTACAGAAAGTAGTCCTGTTCAACGAATCGAATACAGCCTCGAAAAAGGCAATGCTACAATTGTTAGCTTAGAATAAATTTAACGATGTGATGAATGGATCAGTTACCTGAACTAAACTTTGTTTACTCCTTATTAGACAGTTTAGCGGGTATTTTGTGTAGTATCCTAGTAGTCAATATTTCGGCTACAGCTAATAACAGACCAGTAAGTCAATGATTTTTGAATGTATTAAAAGATAGGATTTTTATTGGCCACATTGTAGAATGGTGTCACTATTCATCTGTGATCTCTGGAACAATCTTTGCCAGTCCCCTGACTACATACTGGTCTTTATATGTATATAAGAGTTAGAGTCACAGTAATTTGAAGTCCTTCTTTACCTAAGTGGGGTCTTACTTTGAATGCTTGATATAGAAAGTTTGCTTACAGTTTAGTGTGCATATTGCAGTCAGGTTAGTTTTCTCACAAAGAATGGAAAAACAGATTAGACAACTACATGTTCAATGTTTAAGCTAACAGGCTAATTAAGTTAAACGGTCAATCTCTGTTAACCAGGATCATTTGATCGATCACCCACTCTCTTTTTCTTAAGACAGATTAGCTAAGTGAATTAAAGAGTGAAGTGGTATTTCGATTTACCGACTGTAAACTTTGTAACGAGTCAGACAGTCTCTAGGAGTTGATCTGAGTTATTTAAAGAAGAGTAACCCTCATTATGTTAAAGAGTATACAAATTTTCTCTACTACGAATTTGCTTAGAGTTCTGAACTGGAAGTAATATGTGTATAACCGTTGAATAGATAATATTCTTCACTGTTACATCGTTGTTCTCTAGTTACAACTATTCATCACCTTACTTAGCTGATTGTGAGTTTTAAATCAGCTTACTGGCTTCCACACATTCGTTAGTAAGCACATTATACTGTAAATACTTCATTGACTTTCAGGAGCTGTTGTTCAGTGGTGTAGGGAGATAGCTATCAACCATTGAGTCACGGGTTTGATCACGCTTTACCTACTGAGGTTTGTCAACCAGGTAGTATCATCACTAGCCGTCATACCAATAGATGTGTCTCATTGCCTACTGCAGAGATGTGCATATGTCAGCTGAGTACGTTCCGTTTCATTGACTTTCGTTAAAGACGGCTATATTTCTCCATGTTGTGTTCATTCTAAGCGTTCTTATTTTACTGAAAACCTACTTGTATTTGTACAACTAAACATTGTGTATACTCAACACGTGTTCACCGTACGCTTCTTTATATATTGTAGAGTCTTTGGAATTGATTTTGAAAGTAAACACTGAGAAAAATCTTTCTCAATTAACCGTTATACCATATGGATTGGAAGTTAATGTATGGCCAGTGGTTCTTGGTTTTCTGCATACACTTGTTTCTATCCGAGATACAATTAAAAAGTTGTTGTCATCAGGATCTATTATGGATACAGCATGCAAAAAAACGGTTATATGAAGCTTGTGATCGATTTCGAGATAGTGATCTTGTTAATGCTGGTATTCGATTACAAGATAGAGCTACTGCAGTTGATCTTAGTAAAGGTTTAGATGTAGCACCATTCATTGGATTGGTTGACAGGCGTATTTTGTTGAATGAACGTGTTGAAAATAAAATAAAGGTGATAAGAGTTACTTTCTGTTACGTTTAACTGCTTTCACTTTACGTATTGTTTCTTTTCCATTACCTTTATTACTATTGTCCTGTCCTAATTAAGTGTTCTACCAAGTTTTATACTATTACCTCATCACATCAACCGTCCCAAAAAATATGCAGTAACCTATGTAGAGATGATGCAGAAGAATATTTATAACTCCTGAGCAAGAGGCAGTGGTCGTCAAGCCTTCATTGTCATCCCAGAAAACAATGCCAGTGTCAATTATAGCAATTTCAAATATGTAAATAACGTTAGTCGTGGAAATAGTGGAACGATTCCGTGCTGATTGCTCCAAATATGCCGAATCAGTTCTACTCTAACACGCTATTTCCTTCACATAATATGCCTGCTAGGTAATACAGCACAGTCGAATTCCTGTATTCTGCTGTAAAGAGCATACAGTCTTATGTTATTTCTTCCTCCTCTCCTTCACAACGGATACTAGGAGAGAAGTGTGAATGAAGTGGATTCCCAGTGTCAGTCAGAATTACTCTAGCTAGTTACCTGCTAGAATTTAAATGTCTATCAACCACTGTGTTAATCGGTTGAGTCAGAGACATAGTAATTACTCTATTGACAGACAGCTTTCCAATCCCTACACAATATAACACATAGTCATTTTCTAGTAGACCAGAAAAAGAACAACGCGGAACATTGAAAACGAATCAACAAAATGGAGGGATTAATAAGTTGTAAAAGTAGAGGCTGGGTTAGTTATACCAAAGAGTCAGTTTCTTTACACAATATGCTGAACAAAAGATTTCCTTGGAAGTCAATAAGATATGATACGACCAACAAAGATCGGAAGTAAAACCAAACCCAAGATAATTATCACTCGATTTACTTTCTGCAGCAATGGCATCAGTACTGTAAAATAAGTCATGGAACTTAAGCAGCTGATACAAGTCTTGCTTATTATTATTTGTCCCTTGGGTTCCTAATGGAACATAGGGCCTCAGTAGCACGTCTCCAGTGAAATCTGTTCTCCGAAATCTTTTCAACCTGGCTCCACGACAGCCCACAAGCTCTCAATTCCTCCTCGCACGATCTCCTTCATGTCACCCTCGCCTCGGGCGCTCAACTCGTCGTTTCCCATCTGGATTCCACTCGAGCAACTGCCTGACGCGTGATGTTTGTAGTCGTCCTTCTCAGTGTATGCCCAATCCATCTCCACTTCCTTCCAGTGCATATTTGTTGGGTGATAGGTTGTTGGTTGGTTCGTTCCCAGAGTTCCTTGTTGCTTATTCCTTCTGGCCATCCATCTGATCTTCAGTAACGAGCCAGCGTAGGTGGTAGTTGTTGATGAATGTCTGTAGTTTGTTGGAAATCCCTTTCGTGACGCGCCAAGTCTCTGAGCCATACAGAAGCACTGACTTGACTGAATTGGTGTTGAAAATCCGGATGTTGTTCTTTATACTGAGTGCAGAAGATCTCCACACTGGTTTCAGAATAATGAACGTCAGTCTTGCTGTCTTTCCCATCCTGGTTGGCTTTGACGTCCTTGTCTGTGCCTGTGCCGCCTGTAGTTGAAATAGTGCCGCCTAGATAGGTGAAGAAGGTTACTTCCTTTAAGTTTCACCGTTGATGGTGATTGGAGTTTGTTGTTGTTGGAGTTGTTGGTGCGGTATCTTCATCACTTCTATCTTCTCTATATTCACTTAGAGTCCCGTCTTCACTGCCTCTTGTGTCAACTTGTTAGTTTTCGCCTGTAAATCTTCATCTGTGTGCGACATCAGACACAAGTCATCGTTGGCGAAATCCAGATCTTCGAGGTTCTTTTCATCGGTGCAGCCAGCGTATCCCCCTCTTCTCGCTCCTCACTGTTTGCTGCATGATCCAGTCGACCACAATCAGGAATATCATGGGTGATAGTAGGCGGAAACCTTGTCTTACTCCTGTCTTCCCTTCAAAGGCACCACTGAGCTTCTCACTGTGAATTACTTGGCTGGTATGTGGCGTCTTCATATAGTTGTTGAATGAGGCTGATAAAGGTTTTCGGTATTCTGTAGTGTTGAAGGAGTCTTGTGTATACCTGAGGCTAAAATCAACAGTTTGACATTTAGAAGAGTTTAGCTTGAGACCATTTGAGAGAGACCACTGGTCTCGTTTTCAGTGTTCCCCGTTGTTCTTTTCTGGTCTACTAGAAAATGACTATGTGTTATATTGTGTAGGGATTGGAAAGCTGTCTGTCAATAGAGTAATTACTATGTCTCTGACTCAACCGATTAACACAGTGGTTGATAGACATTTAAATTCTAGCAGGTAACTAGCTAGAGTAATTCTGACTGACACTGGGAATCCACTTCATTCACACTTCTCTCCTAGTATCCGTTGTGAAGGAGAGGAGGAAGAAATAACATAAGACTGTATGCTCTTTACAGCAGAATACAGGAATTCGACTGTGCTGTATTACCTAGCAGGCATATTATGTGAGGGAAATAATGTGTTGGGACAGAACTCCGTACTCAACTTCCTAGCAATGTGCAAGGAAGTTTTTAAGGAGCTTAGGGGATATTGTTTGATTTCGTTTGTTGCTATTTGTACATTTGGTTTGGTGAAGTTTCTTTGTTCTGTACTGTTGAAAGTGTCGGAAGGATCTAGTTTTTTTATGGTGGTTATATATTGCTAAATGGTCTGCATTTTAGACATAGTTGTTAGGATGATGATGCAGCTGATGGTTTGGGAGCAGAGCCAACTTCAGTCTTTGAAGTTACTGGTATTGAACTTTTGAAAAACGAAGGATTCAAGGCATCTTTGAGTTATCCACAGTTGGGACAGTATGTATGGAAATGATTTCTGTTCGTAGGTTGAGTAAATAATGAAGGTTTTGTGACTTGGGATGATGATACTGCAAGTGAAATTTAATATTTCTGCACTTTAATATTAGAAACCATGATAGTTTTTGTTTAGAGTTAATTGCAGTATAGGTAAGTGGGTTTGAACTTGTGATCCAAAGAGTGATGATCAAGTAAATACGATTTCGGAATTCATAAAGTTTTAATCTAGTCATTTTTTTTCACCAACGCTTAAATGGAGTCAATTTAACCTCAAATTTCTGACATTTCGTAGATAATGTGACACTAGGAACTATTCGAGTTAGACGTATTGGGAACACGGAAAATAAATTTTCACACTAATATTGTGAAGATTAAGAGATTGATAACTATTGAAGTACACTGAAACATTTTTGGAGAGCAATTAATTATCCTTTAAGTATGGAGATCTTCTGCACTCAGCATGCGGAACAAGATACGGATGTTCAACACCAACGTCAAGTCAGTGCTTCTGTATGGCTCAGAGACTTGGCGCGTCACGAAAGGGATTTCTAATAAACTACAGACATTCATCAACAACTACCTACGCTGGCTCGTTACTGAAGATCAGATGGATGGCCAGAAGGAATAAGCAACAAGGAACTCTGGGAACGAACCAACCAACAACCTATCACCCAACAAATATGCACTGGAAGGAAGTGGAGATGGATTGGGCATATACTGAGAAGGCCGACTACGAACATCACGCGTCAGACCAGTTGTTCGAGTGGAACCCAGATGGGAAACGACGAGTTGGGCGTCCGAGGTAGGGGTGACATGAAGGAGATCGTGTGAGGAGGAAATGAGAGCTTGTGGGCTGTCGTGGAGCCAGGTTGAAAAGATTTCGGAGAACAGATTTCACTGGAGACGTGCTACTGAGGCCCTATGTTCCACTAGGAACCCAAGGGACTAATAATAATAATAATAATGTGCATGCACGTATTCACTCACTCATCCACTTTGTGTACATCCATGCAGTAGGATAACAAGCCACGCCTTTATTATATGAGGTCTGATGATACTATTCCTGGCTGCTGAAACTTTGGTAGATGAATTGGACCTGAAACCTGTAACATAGTGGTTGACATTCGTCTCCCGAAACCAGAAATTTCTCTCTGAGACAGTCAGGCTATATAAATTTAACATTTATACCAGGAATGTTTCAAGGAAATTTCTATGGGATGTGGAGTTGGGAATTGTAGCAATAATTTTTTGTAACAAGTAAATATCAGTTAACGCTTTTTATTTCACTTCATTGCCTTTTCTCAGAATATAGAATAAGCGTTTTGTATTGATAACTTTCTGATTGGTATATGATGAACCGTAAACACTTGGCTTGGCAGAATGCCACAATGGCTATCGATACAAGTTTGCTAAACCATGGCTATTTCAGATAATCAGACTGTTAAACAATATAATCCTCTCCCTATCTAATTCAAGTGGATTTGAATTGAAATGAAATGTTCTGACTTGGCTGGCAACCTATGTGATACCTATCAAGCTATGAGTATAGCTTCATGAATTGACATAGCAGTCGAATAAAACCCTTGTTGGTTGAAGTGAAGTGTTTTTCTTCTGATGCACATAGTTACTTTCGATACAAAAAGATATATTCACATTCTGTCTGGAAAATTATAGCAAAAAAAGCTAATGTTGTTTTTTTTTAATATTTTAGCGCAGTGAAGCAAAAGTGGTAAAAGATACTACAAAAGATGAAGCTAGTCGTATACCTCCCTGGGAAATGTTTCTCTCAGAGGTCGATAAATATTCCAAGTTTGATCCGAAGGTAAATATTTATGTAATATCACAAAATTTAGTTTGTATTCATATCACAGTTTGATGTTCTCAAAGTTTCATGCTTGATTTAAGATATTGTTATAGGTCGATTGGGTTACTCAAATTGATTTATTTCTGAGTAAATGGTAGCGATTCAACTCAAAAGTTAATTGTACTGTAAAAAGTCTACAGTTTCCTAGTCCCTAATAATGCATTATAGAAGATATTTTAGGGTTGTTGAATAAAGTGTTCGAGATGCTTTGTCGTTGATGGCAGTTCGATATTCTTTGGACTGTGATGTTTCATCACCACTCTTAATGACATACTCATCACCAAGTTCACAAAGAAGTGAAGCATATTCGAATGTTACACGAATGTTTGAGTAGTGTTATCCAATTGTAAGTTAGGGGAAGAGATTTTTGTCATATCTTGACTTCTTTGACCTTAGGTTACACTCGGTCACTCTGGTCGTGTTCACGAAAAGACTCAAATACATGCATATCAAGTTTTGAAGGACATCAGCAATCATCCTACACTCCGTAAGAAGTATTACAAACACTGTTCTCAAAAGTCAAAACACATTGGGGCATTGAAGCACTGTGGAAAGTGAAAGAAAAATGCTTGTACAAATATTCAAAGCCAGCAATTATCCACATAGCTTTATGAAAAAGTGTTTACTTGTCAGCAGAACAGTTAAACTACCTCAAATCAATAAGTGCGTTACTCTGTCCTACATCAAGGATGCCTCAGAAACGGTCAGTCGATTGCTTCATATATTCAGCTATGAAATCACTGCAGAACATGTTGAGCACTCCAAAGGATCCGTTACCAAAAGGTAAATATATTCCACAGAATCAACTACAAGGATTGTTAACAACACTATACGTTAGCCAGTCTATCCGTCGAATTGCTCAAAGAATTCATGAACATTAACTAACAGTAAAACAATATGACGCAATCTGCTTGGTTTTAATGTATGCAGACAATCATAAATTCGACTGAGAGGATGTGAAAATCTTCCAAACAGCAGGTTAGAAAGACAAGAGAATTTTTAGAAGTATGGCATTCCAGTGGAAAATCAATCAACAGACATATACACATAAACCCAATCTATAATCTACTGAAGAGGAAATGCAGCCTTCCATGAACTATTGGAAAATTGGCTAGACAAATCAATAATGAAGCATAGTGTAACAGTGACTAGTAGCGCAATCTCACTCTTATAGAGATTCTCTATCAGCGTGATGGATTGAAATTTACGGTTAAGGTGTGATAAAAGTCTCTTCTTCAACCTACAATTGGACATTACTACTCACGGTCAACAAGAACACTACTTAAACATTCGTGTAACATTCTCTTTGAATTTAATGCTGAGGATGTCACCATACCTAATGATGAGACATCTACGACAAAATATCGAAGCTTAGAGACCGCCATCATCCTCATCCTGAACTACATATCTTTTGGTTTATTTTTAAAGTTTTCAGTAGTTAAATTTTATTACAATAATCTCTCATATAAGAGGTATGACTTCAAGTGTCAAATGGTTGCCAATTTGCATTGTTCATTACGTTTATGTTATTATTATTTAGTCCTTCGGTTCCTAATAGAAAATAGGGCTTCAGTAGCACATCTCCATTTCGCTATGTTCTCTTCAGTCTTTTCAACCTGGCTCCACGACTGCCCAGAAGCCTTCATTTCTTCCTCACACTATATCCTCCATGTCACTTTCACCTCGGACACCCAAATCGTCGTTTCCCCTTTGAATTCCACATGAGGACCTGACGCGTGATGTCCCGATCGGCCTTCTTAGTGTATGCCCGATCAAATCCATCTCCACCCTCTTCTTCTGCATATTTATTGGGCGATAGGTTCTTGGTTGGTTGGTTCGTTGCCAGTCAGCCAGAGTTCCTCGTTACTTATTCTTTCTGACCACCTGATCTGATCTTCAGTATTGAGTCAGCATAAGCAGCAGATGTTGATGAATGTTTGTAGTTTGTTGGAAGTGGTTTTCGTGACACGCCAAGTTTCTGAACCATCACATGGAAGCACTGACTTGACTAGCACTAGTGTTGAAAATCCGGATCTTGTTCACGCTTTATGATGAGTGGAGTGTAGTGATCTGCAGTAGATCTCCACACTGATTTCAGATTAATGAAGGCTTATCTTGTTGTTTTTCTGATCCTGGCTGACTTCGACATCCTCATTTGTGCCACCTGTAGTTGAAACGACGCCGCCTAGGTAGTTAAAAGAGGCTACTTCCTTTAGGTTTCTCCCGTTGATGGTGATTGGTGCTTGTTGTTTTCGGCTGGATATCTTCTCTACGTCTACCTGAAGGAAGTCCTGTCTTCGCTGCCTCGCCTCGCCTCGTCTCGCCTCTTCTGACAACTTGTTAGTTTTCGCCTGTAGATCTTCGAGTGTGTGCGATATAACACATTAGACATAAATCATCATCGTTGGCGAAATCCAAATCTTCCAGCGTCTTCTTATCGGTCCAGCCAGCGTTTGCTCATCTTCTCGCTCCTCATGGTTTGCTGCATGATCCAGTCCAGTCCACTACAATCATGAAGATGATCGGTGATGGTAGGTGACAGCCTTATTTTACCTGTCCCCTGTCTTCACTTCAAAAGTGTCACTTAGCTTTCTATTGTGAATCACACATGTATGTTAGCAGTTGAAAAACTACTCATCTGTAAGGGATGTCAACGCAAATCGTGCAGTTAGTATATCACCTACACATTGGCTGTTCTGTTTATAGGGCATACCGGTTCACCGAACTAATTGTCAGCCAAACTCAGTTAATCTGAATCATTAAGCCATGTGAGGTGAATTTGTCGAGCTACACCACTGATGAGGTCGATGCCGAAGTAGCGAACACAACCGTCCAATGCTTAGATCACTCTAATACACCGAGTAAAATCTACAAGCCAGCTTAAATGATTTCTAACTGCACGTCTTCATTTAGTTCGTGGCAGTGTTGTGTTATAGATCACACTTAGTGATCTAACCAGACAGGAAGACAGCCAGGTCGATGGATGAAGTTGTGAACCGTGGTCGATTGAGATGGTTTAAACATATATTGCGCATGCCAATCCACCGCCTACCTTGATGTGCCATACTTGGGGATGTTAGATTAGTTTGGAAGATGATCCATTCAGGGTGGCGAGACGAAGACGTGGTACCAGTTGATGAAGCCGCTGACTGTTAATCTGAATCTTGTGGAGACATGTCGACTGCCTGGTTGGGGCTATTGAGACGATAGGAATCAGTGGTTGAGGACTCTTAGTGACATGGCAGAAAATCGGTGACAATGGCTCAGATGTTTTCACTCCTTGACATCTTCGAAAGCTTGAATATTTGGGCTAACCATTATCTCACACTTCTTTGCCTACTTTGAAATACTGTTGAAAGTTAATGGATAATTAAAGACGTGTTTCAGGAATTACTCTACAGATTCCTTTTAGCTGCAGTGAAAACTTCGGGCACTCCTTTTTCTGAAAGTTATATTTTGAGAAACTGTTTTATTGTAGATTTGGGTATGTGATATTCTGTATATTGGCTACGAAATACGGTCGTCTGTAAGCCATTTGCATGCATTAAAATTTCATGTATTACAAGCGTTTTTTTCATCGTAAACAAGAGTTATTTGCTATTTCCTTAGTTAGTTGCTAGCAGTGGAATTAAGGATACGAGTTTTATCCTTTTTAGGGCTCGTCAGCAATTCATATCTGCATTCCAATGAGTATTGTTGTTTCTGCTGGAACTTCAGCTTAGTACACATCACTTCAAATAACGAAGTTTTTCTGGCTCTTTTACTGTGTCACATTAAAGTGAAACTTGAGATATTGAAACATTCGTTCGGAGAGCCAATATACTGGTAACAGATACCGATCGATATATTTCAGTGTAATAATATAGTGACAAACTACAAACATCGATAAAAGTAGGATTTATCTGTTGTGTTCACTGTTTTTCCAAATTGTTACCTTGTCACACAATGGTAGCCGAAGTCGGTCCAGGCTGGAAAAAGGCCCGAGGTGGCCAGAATAAAACATGGCACCAATGTATGAAGTCTTTGACTGTTGGTTTGAGCTATATAGGGCGATGCAGACTAGGTGGTTGGGGTCCGTGGGACAAGAGGATCCAGTGGCTGAAGACCCTAGGTGATCACGTGGCTCGGAACCGATGTCAGTGGCGCAGATGTATACACACATTATCCTCATCTTTATACTATACCGATTCTCACCATTTTCTCATTCTCCCTTTCTTTCTTCTCGTATTTTATATTTCTTTTGACTGGATTTTCTTATCTTCATCTTTCACCTCACTACCTTTCTACTTGATGTACTGATATGAGGTGTGGCAACTCGGACCGTTACGCGGTAATGCTTGGTCCTATGTTGATATTGGTGATGATGATGATTTTCCAAATTGTTGGTGGGGAAGATGATCTTCTTTTGAAGAATTCATTACTGATGGTTCGATGTCTTTTTTTTGGTGGTTTATTTTCAGGGTTTGCCAACACATGATGCTTCAGGAAATGAACTGTCAAAAAGTGCTGTGAAAAAGTTACAAAAACTGTACAACGCACAAGAAAAACGTCATACTGCATATTTAAAGAGTAAGAGTTAAGATTATGAGAACTTCTGATCTTTTGGTGTCACTTGTATGGGCTGCTTTGTTTTTCTTCTAACGTTCTTCATCAATGGTGGTTCAAATATATTAGTTGTATGGATACAGCTTCTTCGTATCGTTTGATTTTCATGACAGTCTTTTGGTTAGTGTTTTGTCAACATTGTACAGGGAACTTTGTATACTATTATTTTTAGTTGTATTTTTGTTAAGTCGAATTATACACTTATTTGTCAACTATATTTATTGTTTTCTCTGACCGATGGCTGCTTCCTTGACGTAATGGTTGGGTTTCCATGTCACGATGACCCAACGAGTGATGCATGTGGGACACTTATTCTTTAAAGGTCCTACGAAGCCCGAAAGGTCTGTTGGATAGTGGTAAGACGAAAAGCAGTTACCGTTATGGCGTAAATTACTACACTATGCTGGGGGGTCTGAGGAAGAGGTCGTACTATTGCTAGCCGGATGGGATCTGACAACAGTAAGGTGTTTCCCTTGCCATGTTGATGCTGCCTTTTCAATGGGAAGGGATGCTTAGAAAAGGTTGATCTTAAAAATTACACACTCCACGTGTCCCACGGTGTTTTGGTCCTGGGGGTATGGGTTTTTTGTCTATCCTGCATTAGAACAACCAAACCTCAAAACAACATCCCTGCAAAAAGCTATGTATGACAGGCCTCAAGCAGATGTCGAATGAGCACTGAGGTCACACAAATCTTTTTCTCTTTCAGGTAACTTAAGAAGAAATAGCCCTCCATGCTCCCAGTAGCGCACGATACCCGATTAAACATAACTTATCCTCCTCAACACTGTCTCCTCCTTTGTTTTCACCTCCTGATATTAGTATCAAGCTTCTTCCCCCTTTATCCAACCTCATTTCCAACCATTGTGAAGGATCAAAGCCATCGAAACTTCATTCCTAGTCTCCTAAGATGCCACGATCGATTTTTATGAAAACAAAATAAATGTATGGAAGTGAATGCAAATCGAAATATTGTGCTTGTCATATGTGTGCTGATGGAAGAAAAGAAAAATACTAAATAAGACCATTAGTTTGTAATAGCCTCTAGCCTCTAGAATGTTTTCAATAAAAGCCTAACATATTTGAGTATAGCTCCATGAAGTCATTTAGCGAGTACATTTAACATGTATGAACATAATAATATTGGAAATTACACGAATGTAAGTGAAGATGGTAAGGTATTTCAAAAAAAAAAATTCTACATCTTTATGTGACAAAGTATTCTCATCAAATTGGAAGAAATTTCAACGAAAATATGTAGGATTTATCCATTTTTAAAGGATATGGAGTCATCACAAGCTGGAAGTGTCTATCAAAACTTAAGTATTACCATCAAAGATCATTACATTCCCAACTATAATTAAAATTGTTTTTTATATAGTATCTAAACTTCAGGTGAATATTAAATTTGAAGTTTGCTAAACTATTTGAAGTAAACCATGAACTTATATATGTTTAATGTAATTTTGTTGATTTACAAAACTGAAGCGATAAACTAAGCTTGTTGTAGGATTTCAAGATATTACTTTTTTCATTGTGCACTTTTATATATCATTTAAAACAAAATAAACACCAAGAAATACGCCAACTCAAATAATATACCTACCTTCCACAGGCATAGAAGAGATAGAAGAAATGGAACACAATTTAAAGCAGATAATCTACATATTAGGAGAGAAAATGATTAATTTCGACCTAAAACGCCTTTTTGCTAATATTCTAGTCGAAGGTATTGACTACTCCCATTACTTAAGGAGTTACATCAACTCTATATGAGTTGGATACATAAGGTCCGTTTGGCACCGCTGAGGGTACCGGTGAGAAATCTGAATACCTGTTGGAGGACGAGTATAATGTACAGCGTCTCACTTTGCCTTTCTGTACGTCTATGAGACACGGCCGTAGAGAGTAGAGTATATGAAGAAGTTTTTGACCAGAAGTGTCTTCATGTGATGAGGAATCATTATATGGTCACTGTTTCGGTTACGTGTGAGATATCATGCAAGGGAGGCACGTCCATCAATGGTATTGTAAACCTTCACAAACTGAGATAATATCGACATATGCCATGCCGACCCAGGCTTTTAGCTGAAGGAGAGTGAGGCTAGAAGAGAGCTAGTGGTGATCAAACCAATATATAACACTAGTTCATAAAGTCAGTGACTGATGGTCCGTGTTGCGTGAAGAGATGTAGGCTGCGTAACTGGAGTCCGGTAGATAAGAATAAAGGACTGAGGACTCTTGATGATATCGCTCAGAATTAGTCGCATTGGCGCAGATGTATACAGTCTTTGCTGTATTTGTAATCTTGAACATCTTTGTTAACCTTTATCTATTTATGCTGTCTCATCTCATTCATTCTTGTATCCACCATTTGTTTATATGCCGTTGGGATGTATGGCATTTTGAACTGATGTCTATCTGTCTATTGTTTATCTGCTAGAGATGAGTCTAACACTGATTCTAAACCCATTCAGAGAACTAAATCATTGGTCGAAGAAAATATGCTTGGAGTACATTTATATCTGACTTTTACAGCCTTCAAATTTTGGGACAAAATATACAAACAAACACGATGATTACTATTCATTGACATACTCGTAATTCTCCATTGTTTTACTGGATGAATTGTTCGACCTCTATTGGCATATAAGCTCCTATGCGTATGCCTCGATATTGCCTGAATATTAATTATGGTAATTCACTTAGTTATGGCTAGCAGAGGAATCCAGGATGTACGTTTCGTCCTATTTGGGACTCGTCAGCTAGGTATGTCTGCACAATTCGATCAAGTATAACAACGGATAGTTACAAGCCTATCAGTAAGTAGCAATAACTAACCTAGTGGATATCGCCTTGGTGTTTGGAGCGATGGGCACGACGTTCAAGTCTCAGTGGGAACGATATCACTCACTGGGGTATATCCAGCTGACGAGTCCCATATAGGGCGAAACGCATGTCCTCGATTCATCTGCTAGATACAACCAAGTAAACAGAAGGATTAGCTGTAGGGTCATTGATATCCAGACAAATGTCTGGATAGCTGGAAACGCATGGCTGTAACAATATTTTGTCCTACCCTCACAATTGTAAACGAGGACTTATGGATGGCCGATTTAATGTGTTTAAACCAGAAAGTATCCCGTTTTACCAACCAGTTTTAGAGGTAATCCAATTCACTTATCAATTAGAAAATGACGAAAGATAATTAGCTTTATTGGATTGCAGAATCAGACCAAAATAAGCTGGGAATTAGAATATTGTTGTCGATGTAAAACGGAACACATTTTAATAGATCTAGAGTTAATTTCTACCAATCTAAAATTAGTTGAAGCAGATTGAGTGGACTGTCTAAGTAATCGAGGCAGAAATGTGATTACTTAATCAAAGGACCTAAATAGGTAAATGGAACAATTACAGTAAGTTGCTTGCCTCAAGAGGTTGAATTACATAATCGCTTTAATCTCACTTTAGGGATAGTGGATTTCCATCAGGTTCTAACGCAACACGATTACCATTCATCTCATGAGGTGACGTCATATACTAACCACCTCTTCGCTCCTACCGAGTTCCATAGCTAGCGAAGAGTAAACGGCATAGATACCTATCGGACGATATTTCTTGCATGTCTGCTAGCCCCTGAAGCTGGTGTTTCAAGATGGTATCATTAGGTAGATGAAGGTGATCTCCATCACATTCCAAAACGTACCGGCGTAAGTCAAAGTTACTTACAGGATGTTTCCACTGTATGCGAACAATTCTTTGGGTCAACAGCAATCAGTAATGGAGCACTAGTGGACATCCTCAGTTTAATTAAATCAGGTTCCATAAAAGTAGAGGCAAACTGCTTGTATCGAAGTGTTGGACACCTAATCTCTTACAGCCAAGTTAACTTCACTACGGTGCCGAAGGTGACCCAGATTGGCATATGCAGCTCTCCACTACGATATACCATTCGAAATCTGTCACATCATACCTCCACTCGTACATTTACGTAGACATATGAATGTTTCAACCTCTTCAAATGTCCCCACTACGTACAATGAGTTCAGGTGTAGAATGTTGTAAGTTTTGTAAAAGAGCTTTGCGCTTCAACGGTGCATAGCGCATGCTATACTCACGGACACTACTGATCAAATGATTAAGTGGTATTTGATTTGAGTGTATGTTGTCGCACTTTGGGACGATGTAATCTGCATACTGGATATCGAAGTCACGTGCTACAACAACATGGTTTCTGGTGACCAACGTACGTTGGTACACAATTTGTCCATCATGAATTCTGTTTCATTTATTATTTAGTGGCCGTCATCTGCCTTATCTACGAGATATTTTGCCTTACTTTCTACTCATAAACTAGATGAAACTTCATTTCGAATTACCGACACGGTAACTAAGAAAACCTGTTGCTTAACGATCACAAGTATCTGCTGAACAAGAAGTGTCTATAGTAGTCAAGTAATTTTAGTGGTTGACTCTTCGATGTGCATACAGAACACAGAAAATATAGATTTTTACATAGAACACTGATCCATACGAACCACGATAACACCTGAGGATGACGTTCGAATTAAGTCCTTTGAAAATTAACATAATTCAAATGTACTTCAGTTTTCTGATGAAAACTAAAGACATTTCGATACTCTTCGTGACTCAATATCTAGTTAAAGTGTAGTCTATGAACACACTGGCAGGTTGAAGAATTTCAGATGTCGATTGATGAAGAGTTCACACACTCGTCATTAGGAGTGACTAGAATTAGAGGTTAAAGAGATAGAAAAGTTGATAGCAGACAGTCAGTTGCATCTATTAACGAAACTGCAGTGATGAAGCTAGCGATTATTGAAGCTACTATTGAAAAGACTTCAGTCTCATATATCCTAAGGGGAGACGACTATAATGAGAGACAGAACACTTCAAGAAATAATTCGATTGACCTATGCTTGCTGCTGGATATCCCACTATCCAGTTGTAGTTTGAATGGGATACTGAGAGAAGGTCTTCAACCCCTTCAGAAGTCAATGACGTTAAAAATACTTGAAACTAGTAAATGCAATCGATCTTTGTGCATAAGCTAAGACACACTTAAACATATTCACCTAGGATTATTGACTCAACTAATGGAATAGTGGCAGGATTATAAGCGTCCAATAGGTTAGAGAGAAGGAAATCTCAACCATTATAGTGCCCTCCATTTCTATCCAACCATATTTGTAGAGTTTCCTTTTGCCTC